ACCATCAAAATGCTCTATATGTCTTAATAATGATCTAAAATTGTTGTATGATGGAATAATTGTCAGTCAAACTATCATGGCACTGAAAACTGAAGAAGAAAGGTAATTAAGGGGTTAAAATGCATCAATATTATTATGTGCATTTATTCTTTGCATCAGGAAGTTCACTCATATAATGTATAATTGCCTTGATTCAGCTGTATAACTCTTTTGACAAATTATATTTCCTATTAAGTGTAACTATATAGCTGATTAGGTGACTCATAGAAAATATAAACCAAATAGGTAATCAGAATTCATAATAATCTGGTACAAATGCTGGAAGTAAGAGTAAGAGGCTACTCAAGCATCAGCTTTGAATAGAATTTAGGTAATGGACAGTTAGTTCAAATGTTATTTTTTTACTTGACCTCACTGCAACATGCACTTATGCTTTGTGCCTTTTTTCCTGACCTAGCCTAACCCCTCCACAGAGGCATACTTACAGAGCTTTCCACCGCCTTTAATGTTTGTTTACATCCAGCACCTGAAGTCACACTGTGTCCTGGCTTTGCCTTTGCATTAGAGTCGTACACTTCTTTAAGGCTGTGTCCCAAGGCTGGAGACAAGGGCAGTAATGCACAGGCGAAAGCAGGATATAAACAGTCACCTGAGGCCATGACCATTGGATCAAGCTAAGTATGAGTTTTTGAAGGGGGAAGGTTGGGTTCAATTAGCTCAGGGCAAAAGGGCAAAAGACATACATGCACTTTGTGATGAAGAGTGTTCTCTAAGATCCTTTAGTACATGCAAATGTTTTTAGTTTTTTTTGGATAGAGTAAATAAGGTGTGTATGCTTTTTAAAACTTATATTCCTGTATGTGTCCCTGCTGAGTAGGTTCCCCTCAATCTGTCCTTTTGACCTGAGACATCCCTGAGTAATTAGGCCCTGCTGAAAGCATACCATCCCTCTCTGTTGAAACAAGCTGATATTACCATCAGCTTTAGGCATCAAGCCCCCACCCAAAAAAAGGACACCAGTCTCAAACTTCCAACCTGGTTTATGTGCTTTTCACCCATTTAGCATCCATGAGGATCAGGGAGAGGGGGATCTACACGATACAATACCTGTTATAATGTTTATTTTAGTTGAATGAAATGAGTGAAGCAATCTCTGAAAATCTTTCTTGTGTATAGTGATTAGATTTAATCCTTTCCCTATACTGTCCTTTAGACCCAGTTTAGGCTACATTTGCAGGGCACTGGCATAAGGTGTTCATGTAATATAAAGTAAGATGTTACGATTATTAGCTGCATTTCCAGTATATTCCACCATATGTTTTCCTGAAAACTGTTTTTAGTGATTTGATTTCTTTTCCTTTAATTTTAGAAATTGAAAAAGAGAGCTGTGGCGACCCTGGAACACCTCTGTATGGTATTCGTGAAGGAGATGGTTTCTCCAATGGAGATGTGTTAAGATTTGAATGCCAATTTGGATTTGAATTAATAGGACAGAAGTCAATAACTTGCAAAGAAAATAACCAATGGTCAGCCAATATACCAATATGTATCTGTAAGTATGTTTTCTATATACCTTTTTTTTTGCCACAAATGAATCATACCAAAATGTCTGACATTTAAAATCGTATCATTTGCATTAACCTTTTGTTGTTTGCAAATACAATTCTGCTTATTAAAATATCCAAACTTCAGTCTCAAAGGTATGGAAAATCAATCCTCCCCAAAAATCATAAATTGGAATAGATCCCACCATCTGTTGTATACAATATTGGCAAAGCAATTAAACTATTTGGTTGGTTGACTTTAATAATCAAACATAATGTTTTTACAAATAAAAAAAATATTTTCTTAATTTTAGTGGACAACTAATACTTTTCCATGTTACTTTATTTTATACAGAACTCATATGTTATCTGCACAAATAAAACTGTTTGCCATGGAGATTTTTTTAAGCAAAAGAAAAACAGTTACACCTAACAATTGCAATTTTAATGTGTACACTACCTAGAGATTAAATATACACATAAACAATTAAAAATAATAAGCCATATTTTATGCAAATGTTTATAATGAATGCAGAGTTCTTGTCACATCTACGCTCTAACATATTTATTTACATTGTAGTTCCGTGCTTATCAAATTTTACTGCACCAATGGGGACAGTTCTCTCTCCAGACTATCCAGAAGGCTATGGAAACAATTTAAACTGCATTTGGACTGTAATTTCTGATCCAGGGAGTCGAATCCATCTGTCATTTAATGACTTTGACTTGGAATCTCAGTTTGACTTTCTTGCTATTAAAGATGGTGATTCTGTGGATTCGCCGATACTGGGAACTTTCACAGGTGCTGAAGTCCCTTCCCATCTTACCAGTAACAGCCATATATTGCGTCTGGAATTCCAAGCTGACCATTCAATGTCTGGACGGGGATTTAATATAACATATAGCAGTAAGTATCCTATTTCAAAAACTAAAGCTGCTATTGTAGTGAGCTATGAAATGTTTATATTAATGATATTGTTTCTTGCTTGTAAGCTGCAATATATAACATTTTGTTTTTGGGTTTACATAAACTTTAAGGCAGGTACAAATATATGGACATAGTACTTCTCTCAGTCAGCTCAAAGATAGAAAAAGTTAGCACTTTTGGCTTCTGCTATAAACACTCACCTAAACTCAAGTCTGCATTTAGACATTATTAGAATTTTAAAATTTTAATTTTGATTCTAATTTAAAAGGTATTTCTAACATATTTTCAGCAAGCTAACATTTTTATGCAGCTTCTACCTTAAAGTAATGCTGAATTATTTGTACCGGAGGCTCGAGGCAGTTTTTAGTCAAGTCCCCACCACTATCAGCTTTATACATAAGAGTCAGTGTACACAGTCATTTGTGATTTGCTTGTTGCAGGCATTTGTGAAGAAGTGAGAATGCAGTGCCTGAATTTTTAAATGCATTTCATGCACTGGTATACATTTTACAAATTACTCATATGCTGCTGGCAGGCAAAATAGAAACAATACTTCCAGGTACAGAGAGCGTACATATACTGTATTTTGTGTATGATTGGTTAAGAACACCTTTGCTTAGAGCAACAACAAAAGTTGTCATTGCTGATCAAGTGACAAAATGCCTAAAGACTTCCAGAGCTGTAAATGACTGCCTATGGAGAGAACTGAAATGCAGAACTTTTCCATAGAGTCTAGGGCCCCAGGAAGCTGCCAGTGTTGCCCTTAATATACTATTTGATATGACTATTGCACATTTTCTTGCTTGCTCTTTTGTACTTTAATGATTGTGTTTTATATGCAGATTTACATATGCTACCTCTGTATAGAAGAGAATGTGCTTAGGGCTGCCCAGCTTAATAAAGACAAGCAATGATCCCAATATGTAGTCATTGATGTCACAACTATACCTGTCTCTTTTGATTATGGGAATTGCTGGCCATGTAACTGAAAGAACCAGGTGACCTTAGTGGTTGCTTAGGGTGTGGTTCCTTATTAACCATTGACAACAGGAAGCTGCTTTAACATTTTAGCAGTACAAATACTGCTATCATATATGATTTTCTGCTCCCACCTAATAACAAAAATGTTCGACATTCAAACGAACACCTCAACAAACAAAGTTGTATATTGCATCTACCACATTGGACAATGGATCAACTGATCCTGCATTTACACCACAGAACTTTTTCAAGTTTTGCATTTTTAATAACGGTCAAATGCCTGGGTGTCTTTTTTTTTTACTGTGTACTTTTTTTTTAAATGAGTAGAGATAACATGTAATCCTAACTTATTCACATAGGGGAGGGTAATGTCTGGGACCCCCCCACCACAGACTCCTCAGAACCCCTGAGTCATTAATATGGAGAAAATGTGTGCACTCACATTTTGAGAGCATGTGGTCTGGTAGGGTTCAGGAGGGGGGAAGCAAAGGGGTTCATCCCCCTTTCCTGACCTGCCAGGATGGATGCTTAGATAAGGGTTATGGTATGACTTTAATGGGGAAAACCATGCATGTTTTGCATCTATAACACACGCAAAGGGTCTGGTATTAATTTTAGGAAGGCTCTATACTTTTTTTGCATAGAGTTCCCACCTTAAAATCCATAACAGACCCCCATCAAGGATAAGGGTCTGGTATGGATTTTTGAGGGCACCCCATTGCCGTACAGCAAAAGTGATATTTTCCACAAAAAAAACAACTCATTTTGCCAGTAAATTACATTTCCTGGCTGGCTTCATTTTTTATTTATTTAAAAAAGCAGCATGGGGACCCATGACGTTTTTTCCAAAGAAAAACAAGCTGGATGGGAAATATAATTTACCTTCAAAGTATATTCCTATATTTATATTTGTATTTGTTTATGTCACATTTGCTGTTGTACATTGAATACATCATTTAGAGTTCCAGTGGAACATGTGTTTATTGTTACTGTAATGCAGTCAGGCTGCATATACTGTACATTAATAAATATGGCTCAACTGCTAAGTGCTGCAGTAAGGGTTAAAATAAAAAGTCAGTAAAAAGTAAAAAGTCAGACCACTGCTCCTTCACACAATATAGCAGCCTGGCTTTTCATTGACATCCCCCCTGAATACTGCTCTGATCAACTGCCTGAAGGGAATCCCTCTGTTAGACACAAAACCTGGCAGCTATAATATAGTGGGGACAAGATAGCAGTAAAAACCAAAGGTTCTAATCCTTCCCTAATGTGTGAAAAAAAAAGTTTTGGCTATACAGTATATACACTTTAAGATTTAATGTCGCGTGACTCTTTTTTTGTAAATTATTTTATGTTGCTGATTACTTTGCTGGGATATTGCTGAAATACTTTTAATCATCCGTTAACTTGCAGGTCAAGAACAATCTCTTAAAAAGTTTATGCATATCTTGAATTAAGTGAATAGTTTAAGGCTTTGATTAAACTGAGAATATGCTGTTTTTAATGTCATTCAGATCTTGTCTACAGTACAAGTCTAATCTTAATGCAGTTCCAAAACAAGTAATTGTTTTTGCCAAGGCCAGAATCATGCAATTAATAACAATATACATGTAGTGCTTTTTCAAAGTGACACTAGTGGATAATGCTGTCACTAATAAGTTCTCAAAGTGTGATTGTGAAGTATTAACATTAAATTGACTGTGACATATGTCACGACAGCTTGGTATATAAAACTGCTGTTTTGCCAGTAGGGTTTTCTTTTCTAGTGTTAAATATTCACATTTGACTGAAGTTCAGTTACCACGCATGGCTTAAAGTTAGGTTCTGTCCCTCCGTGCTGAAACATTCATACCAACTTCATACGCTGCATGCACTTAATTATACTGCAAGCAAAGAAAAAAAGGAATCCAGTTTAAAAGCTCTAAAAAAAGATTTTGTTACACATTAGATCAGCTTATAATAGCTCACAATTAAAAAAGATTCTGATCTTAAAGAGAAACATTTTAAGTCAGTATTTTCTGAATATATTTTAGTTAACACTGTAATATTTATCACAGGGACTCTGTGACATAAACATTCTAAAAAAGCAGCCTGCAAATGAAGCCCCTAAAGCCAGATGCACCCTGTTGTGTTGTGGTATGCACTGCAATGCACGTTCATTTTGAATGGCATCTGACCCACCCAAAAGGGTGTTGAAAGTGAAGATTCTGCTGGGGCTGTAGCTCATAAAGAAAAATGTGTCTCTCGCTGTAGATGTAAGCATTAAAGTGCACCTCTGTCCAACTGTAATAATCTATTTAATAGGAAGATGGAACTCAGCTGTGGAGGCTGTGGTGAGTGTGACTGCAGGCAGGGAGACCGGCACTCGTCTGGCGTCCACATAGGGTTGCTGGAACGCCAGACAGTTGTGTGGTCGCGGCTTATGACGAGGCCGGGGGCGGTCTCCTGCGATACCTTATACAGCAGCATTCAGATTAGAAGATGGAGGGGCAGCATTTGGCACCAACAAGTTGTTCTGCATATGTATTCCTGTCAGGGAAAAAGTTGAATGGAGAAAAGAGCAGAATGATGACCTTTTAAGTCTGCTTCTTAACTATCCAGTCACAGGCTAGAGGAGAAAGGTGACCATGTTATATTGCCTAACTGCAGTAGAACACTTTAGGTCAGTGGTTCTCAACCTGTGTAACCTCGGGGCCCACATTTTTCCTTGGTCATAAAGTCGTGACCCAAAAATTATTCACTTCTGAGACATTTTCATTTATTACACAAAACAACTGGGCAGTATTCAGCAACGTATATATGCAAATTTTAAACATTATTGGGGGTATGGAATTGTATTGTGGGGGCTATGTGGGGGTTTGGAGCTTTAGTAGGGGCAGTATTGCAGGCAGTGGCGTCATAAGGGATGTGTGGCCCACACAGATACCATCAGAGGGGGTGACACTGTAATGACTGACAGGAGCCAGATGCAGTCCCTTTATCAGGCATAACAATGTGACACATGGTCACATTTTTGGTGAAATAAACAAAATGCAGTTACATCGAGTAAATAGATAGCAAACATGTGAAGTGTTAAAATTGCATGCACCTCAGCAATGGCGAAAAACTATGCTTCACAACATTGTCCATAGGTGACATTTTAAAAGCCTGTACAGGTCATCAGTTTAGCGTTAACCATGAATTATGGCCAAGAATTATTGCTCTCACTCCAACGTTCGCGGTGATACCTAACATGTCTGGTGCATACACATGAATGCCCCACACACGCATGTTTATTCTCATGCAAATGGTGGGATTGGTTTTAATTTTTAAATATTTATTTTATTATTTTTTATGACTTAATTTTTTTCCCCCTTAACTTTATTACTATTTAATAGGGGCTAACAAGCTCCTATGTGATATTGTATTGAGGTGACAGGTTCTCTTTATGGAAACATCTGGGGTCTAATGACCCCTAATGTCTCCCCTGCACTCCAACACAGGTGATCAAGCACAGCATTGTGCTCCATCTCCCATGCAGCCTAGCTTGTGACTGCTGAGACTGGAAACAATGTCAGTACAGCATATCAGAACCGGCCTGCTCCCGCTCTCTATTCTGAATGAACTGCCATGGTCCCGAGTCCCCCAAAGGAGCAGGAAACCACGAAAACTAAGGCGGTTGGTGGAGTACATAATGTCCATCAGTGACCCCTGTCATGATGTCCCCTGTCAGTGAAGAAACATTAGCAGGGGGCACCGTTGCAAGTTCTCTACTAAGCCCCTGCTAATGTCCCCCAGAGCTTCTGCACTGACAAGAGACAATATGACAAGGTCTACTGATGGACATTATGTGGGCTTGGAATAAATAATGTCCATCAATGTACCCTGTCCTAATGTCCCCTGTCAGTGCAGACGCTGGAGGGGTTGGTGAGGGGGTCTGTGTGGGGAAAGAGGGGGGCATTAGCAGGGCACCGCTGCAGGTTCTCTACTAAGCCCCTGCTAAAGCCCTCCAGAGCTTC